CAATTATATCTTTCCGTACATATCGAATTAACGATAAAAACAATTATGACACTATACTCACACATAACGATGAAAGAATTATATCGTGAAGGAGGCGAGGTAGGAGAGGGAGACCAACTCATACGAAGTATCGATTTTCCATCGCCATTACTTGGCGGTATCGGTGGTCCCGTTTTTCGTTAATAATTCATTTTTTCGCGACTTAGTTGCGAAACGGACGACTATTAATCTTGTCATTGCGGTGATCCCTGAAATTGAATTTCCGCAGTGACAGATATATTCGCTAAGGACTGTGCGACATGATTATATAGAACAGTCCATAGAATCCGCGACGTCCTCGAAACGTCCGTATTCTCTTTTCCCGTTTTTTTTTGGTTTTTTTTTAAGTGTACAGAATTTTATTTGCGAATGTGCGATCACTCCATTTGTCGCACGGACCGACTGTTTCATCGATTGTCTCTTTGACGTTTCGCTCATCGATAGCGGAGAAGCGTGCGCACAACACAACTGCGCGACGAGAGTATGACTTTCAGAAAATACAGACAAATAATCCCTCCGATTTAAATCCTGGATTGTGCACGAGGGAGAAATAATAAAAATGATCCTTTTTCTCGAGCCTGCCTCGTGCGATTACGATGAATAGCCGCTCGTTCGAGAAATCGCAAAGATGACAGCCCTCCTTCTTGATGAAAGATCGCGCGATCAGGTTATCGCCTATTTGTCGCGTATGTATGTGTATGCAACCAAGGGGGATACGTGTATAGTATATGTATTCTCGCCTGCGCGAGAAGTGGGCCGTGTGCACACCAGCTGTCGTTACCGAGCCTCGTTACCGTTCCCGTCACGTCAGTGGTGTGTGTTGCCGCGATAAATCTGGCATGCCCGAATCTCGCGCGTTATTACTTTGCGCTTTTACTCCGGGTAGCAAGCCGGAGTCAGCTGGTATATTTCATCGGACCTTGCAATCCCCGTTTCTTCAGACCCCCGTTACACGCGCGCGTCTTTTTTATTATGACGATAATCATAATAAAACTTATCGTTGTTTTTTTAAATAAAGAAGTCGTAAAATTCTGGCAGAATTTTTCTCTTGGAGTATAAAAGCGATGAGAGAGGAGCGAGAAACTAACGATGAAAAAATAAATAAATAAAAGCCAACGACGAATGGTCAAATTCGTTTTATCTAACTCATTCTGCAAACAAAATGCATAAACGAAATTATTATACTTTAATAGGAATACAAAGGCTTGTGCAATGCCATTTTCGAGCGGTGGGCCGCGCGGATGTCTTTCAACATGGCAGACACAAAGGATAAACTTTGAACTGGCACCGAAATTACTCGGAAGTCAGATAAAGTTTGCCGCAACTTAGGTAACAGCATGAGGTCATCAAACAATCGGGGTAGCAGCCCGCAATGAAACCGCGCTATTGCCAATTGATCGAATCGGTTCTGATTTTCGAGTCTACAGGATAGTTTCTACTCAGGATAGGATCGATAGAGGCGGTCCGCGAGGGCCGTCGTCCACGATAAGGAGCTAAGAAGTATAGCCCGAGATCAATTGAAAGGTATCGATCTCCGCGCTTTCCAGGTGTTACCCTCGGATAAAGAATTACGTCAATTTATATCACGCGAATTTTGGACGCCCTCCATCGTCACCCCTCCCCGGTATGTTGTGGGAAACTTTCGTCGTAACGTTAAGCCGCTTTACGAGATTACACCCTCGGCAATTTACATACGATTGAGTTACGGCGGCGGCGCTTGCGGTGCGAGAAAGGTAGTTAAAAGTATACTCTCGCGTTGCCCACATATTAATCGCGTGTCGCACAGAAATCTGAGCGAGGCTATATCGAAATATTTACGATTATTCAAGTTCGCGAAATGCAAGTTGTTTTTACGATGGTTCGACCTAAATGCAGTTAAACCTGAATTAATCGCGTCGACGGAAATTTATAATTCCGTAATAAGAAACTCGTGTTTATTATTCTTATTTTCCTCATAGCGCTTGTGTAAAAGATATCAAAGTTTCAAAAGAAAATACCGATTGCATACAGAAGAGCGAAAATTCCAGAGACGCGCATTAATTATTTTTATTTATTATACATATACGCTGAGTCGCGAGAGAAACACTCTTCGGCTTGATTCCCGAACTGTGTAGACAGTTTTTCGTAGTTTTAGCGTCGAGCGGGCTAGAAAATTTAACTTGCACCCACGCCCCCTCGCCCGTCTCGGAGAACTCGGAAAGATAAACTCGGAAAAGTTTGTAATTGCACGACGATTACAATTTAAATATGCGCTTTAGCGCGGCCAGAGAATTTACAAGTACCCTCTCTCCTTCTCGCGCCGCCTTTAATGAATATTACTCTTAGATCGGTGTATCTGGCTCGTGTAACATGAGTACGCGGGCAAATCCGACGAGATATAGACCGGGAGTCCCCAAGTTTTGCCGCTTTCCGCGAGCCGTATTATTAAACTTCCGGTAAGCCGAAAGCGAGCATATTCCGGACTCGCTTCAGTCTAAGATCGTAATAGCGAACTTTTGCCCCCGACGCAGCCATCGACGAGATTTCTCAGCCGGTTCGCCAGCGGCAAACTGAGCAAAATTATTCGCCAGCGCGTGACGCGGCCGAATTGATTAGATCTAAACTTGCTTCTGCAAACGTGATATCTAGTAGCACTCGGACGTGACGATGGACGTTACGAGGTAGCAAACGAATGAGAGAGAGAGAGAGAGAGGAATAGTGAGAAATTAACGTATCGTGTTCCGGCTAACGTTGGAATTTTCGCTAATTCCACTTGATGAACCCGAACGTTGCGCGTTGACAGGCTAAAACCATCGAAATATTTCCGCACGCGCGAAAACGAGAAGAGAGAGAGGGAGAGAGAGACAGATAGTGGAGCGAGAAAGCGAGGGAGAACCGTTTGTTCCGCGCTGTTAACCGCATGTGCAATGCGCACGCGTCTACTGTAAACTGTAACTCGGGCTCTCTCGATGACGCCGCGCGACCGAAGCGATGAATATCCGCGTGCGTCCCTCACGGCTGGACCAAATTAAATGTGATACACTCGTGCGCGCCGCGTAACGCCGGTCAGTTATACGCCGTCAGCCGGCATATTACCAGGTCGCTTCATTATTCTTCTTCCATTGTCGGAAAAATTGCGGCGCGCGATTCGCGCGAACGCGCTCTAACGACTCTCATCTGCGTACAGTAATTAGATTACGACGCGTTACCACATTTAATTTTTCGCTCCAAGTCTCTCGCACGGCCGCGTGCGTTATGTTTATTAATAATTTGCCCTCCTCTTCTTACCTTGTAGAATAATTGCATTCAAGCTTTTTTTTATAAATTATAAATTTGCGATAAGTATATATTTTATCAATTTCAAATTTGCGATGAAAGAGAGTGAGTACTTTCGTACTATAATCGCCGTATTGTCTTTTGTAAGTTTTGATATATTATTTTATTGAAGGATAAACTGACGATACGATTATGACACTAAATTTCAACTGGAAAAAGGACGTTTTACATCGTATCGATGCTTTCTGATTTATGGGTCAGCTTCGGAGCTGACTATTAAAGCAATGAATACCGAGTCGCACTAAGCAATCCATCAAGCCGAATATAATTCAGCGTCTGCATCTGACGTCATATAACGTAGTACGTTACGTATAACTAAATGCCATTCTTTTTGTAAACGTCTCGCTCATGCGTCATCTCTGCGCTCGCTTATGCAAAGAAAATGCAAATATACACGTGTGTATGTATATGTATACAGTTACGTTACGGCCGACACGATATTATCCCGAATAGCATTCTCGTATGAATTTTTACAATCGCTCACTTACAAAATACATACAAACGGATTGTATATATGTATAACACGTTGGTGGAATGAACAAACTTCAACGTAATAAGCTGTTCCACCATAATGAAATAGCATAAAATTCGATATGGTTCGCCTCGCATGGGAATAAAACACTCGTACTAAACGATGCCCGGTATGGCTGTAATAGCATAATAGTTTTGCTCGTGCATTATCATGAAAATGTACCAATTAGTAATCTTATTTTGCATATGCATACATGCTAACAATTATATTTTTTAGTAACATACTTGAAGAGTATTGACTAAAAAAAAAACAAAAAATTGAATAATATAATAAAATATGAAATTATATATAAAATAATGTAAGAAAAAAAATTTAATGAAAAACATAATTGTTTTCCGCATCTTTCTATGTTCAATATGATCTTTACTTCAAAAATATGTATAATTTATCACGTGATGTGAGAAATTTAAAGTCAAATTCGTATAAGAAAATATTAAAAATGGAAGCTTTGAATGAACAATAATCCAATAATTAATTAAATAACTTTCTTGTTGAATTGTATTATATCGTATCGGTTCCAAAATAATCGACGATTGTTTTCCCTCTTAATTTCACGCTTTGCATTCAGAATGGGCGGCTTATAACCACCCACCTATTCTATAATCTTATGTCTATGAGTGTGTTATCAGGAACAGCCACACCGTATCTCGTGTACCATACATAAGAGAACAAACGTGTATCCTCACAATTCGTGACTTTGCCAACGGTACTGGCTAGCCGGCCTCGGCCTCGGCCGGCTCGTGGTAACAGGGGCATTGTTTTTGTCGGACACGTTGCCTGGATACTAATGCGTTCGGGCACCTAACGTCCGGCTATACGTTAAGCCCGATGCGCCAACGTAAATGCGGCTTACGTCCGCGCACGATAACGGATCCTTAAACCGACATGTGTGTGCAATATCGGTTCGCGTTAACAGTAATCCATGTCAGAGAAGGAATCGCCCTATCCGTGGAATAATAAAATCCCCTTCCTCTCTCTCCTTTTGAATCTGCGAGATCTCGCAATCCGATGACATGACGATAATATTCACCCCTTTCCTATCCCCTTCTCGCTCCTTGTTTGTGATAAGCGCGCGCGCGCGCGCTCGCCGTTTTAGAAATAAATCGATATTTACCTGGATTTACGGCGTGGCAGTGGTTGAGAAGCGGCAGCCAACAGAGCAGTAGCACCGCTCTCTGCATCTGAAATCAGAATTAAAGCCTGAAATGTTTATAAGCATAAATCGCGCCAATACGTTATGGCTAAAATTACGGCGATCGTCCGCAAAATGTTCCGGAAAACTGACCGTGATTATAATTACATTATTCTATCAATTATACTTGGATTCTTTGGTAAACTCAAAACTGATTTTTCCTTGCGAACGAAAAGCTTGATAGGATTCCCTATTTATGAAGGTAATTATCGTCGGAAATTAAATTGTCTTTTAATCTTTCTACGAGTCTAGCTTCAAGAGTATAAATAGTTAACGCGTATACTCGTTTCTGGTTTACTTTAACGGAGACTCAACGTGAGTTTTAATTGACAAGACATATAATTCTTTTTGAATCCTGCAAAGTTCTCTCAATCAAGAATAAATGGTAGTTTCGTGCGTTTATATAAAAAAGATCAGCTCAAAGTTCCTCAAACTAAATCTGACAAAGTTCATCATGTGAGAATACAGATAGACTTCGTACTTTAATTTTGATCGTAACAATTAATTGATTGTATGGATGCAAAATCAATACACACTATACGATTTCGTATGATACAACTTTAATGTTTATTTCCTCGTAATTGATTTTTTTTTCAAGAGCGCTTTAGACATTTTTAATTTATTTTAAATAATCTGCAATTGAAGTATTGTACGTAGAATTTTCCATTTCACATTTTTTCGTTTTGTAATAAAATTTTTAATATTAATGTCTATTATTTTTGCACGCGCGTTTAAAGCCGTAATATAAAATAACTTCGGCGTTATTAATGTACTTGTTACATGCGAGTAAATACATACATCAAAATCCTGTGTGAAGAACGAGAAATCCTACGCACGCATATATATGGCAAATGCAGAGAGAGAGAGAGAGAGAAATGGAAAGAGAGAAAAAGAGAATAAAGGCAATCCTTTAGTGTTCATTGTGCTAATAAAAAATGGACTTGACGCGTGTGCGTGCGCTCGTCACAAGAGATATACTCACGTACGACCGCGCGATACAAAGGCAGTTGTGCAAGAAGTATTTGTACCAAATTTTTGCAGAGGATGCAATTCGCCTTTCCGCTAACTGCGCGTCCGCGTAAAAAGAGACTCGATGCATTCGCGAGTCGCATGTATCTCGCGAACGGAACGATTTGTCAGCTCGATTCCGATATCACATCGTGAGGAAATTTAAAATTGCAACATTCACGGGGTGCCGATGATCGGCAGCGCAATACTTTGATTAATTTACGTTTGAGGAGAAAAAAAATGCTATCTCGTATAATGCCAAATCTTTACACATATTTTTCAATTATTTCTTTTTACTCCATCTATCCTTCGTGATATATGCATCAAAATCTATCGTTTTCATAGGTTTTAATATTTTTATATTTCCCGTGTATAGGACATATGTACGATGTAAATAGTACGTAGTGCAAGCAATACGAACGAGATTAATAAAGCGAATGGAAAAAGTCATATATTGACATGTAAATGAGAGAAATTCTGGCTCATGCATTACAAAATAACAGTCGATACTTATGAATCGCGTTTGTGATTTGAATATCGTTATGTATTTCAAACCCACCGCACGTCCATCTTTATGTCGATATGCAAATGAAAAATGTCAAATATTTCGCCTGGAACAGTTTATACACATCGCAGCGTGACAATGTACTATACATCAAAACACAAATATAAACGAATAGCCTGTTTCAAAATAACACTTCTGCGAAAAAAAAAATTACTGCACTGTGGCAAATAGTGACTCAATATTCACGGTATTGATGAACGGTATTAATCTCATTTTGCGGGAGATAGGCACGAAAGGTCGCGTCGGGCCGAAAGGTCGCACAGGTCAAAAGTGCACTGACGATTGTATCCCACTGAGCGTACGGGTTGATACGCCGGGTTGGGTGGAATGGACAATTAAATGAGTAAGTTCTTTCGATATTCTTGCCATTAATGTTCCATTAGTCATCCCTATGCATTATGTGAGTAATTTAGAAACTTCTCGATATGTTTTAATATAAAATGAATAACTTTTTGAATTAATTTATTGTAATATTTTAATGACTTACAAATCGAAATGAATATTTTAATCTATATATA